CGGGACACAGGAGGTGCTTGATGCAATCGTTGTGCACACCAGCTCGCCAGCCCCACCAATGGGTGTGCAGGAAGCAGTATCTGCTTTCCACCACCTTCTCCTCTTCATCTTTCTGGTAGGCAGAAGTGGGCCTTCCTTTGAGGTGCCCCAGGTCCCCATCAGCAAAGCCTGGGGAGATGGGCTGCTGCTCAGGCTTTGGAAGAAGCTCTGCTTGACGTAAGATAGCACTCTGACCTCAACGACGCAGGCTCTCACCATCTTCTTGACAAGAATGAAGACATAGTCTCAGCCCTGAGCCCTTGTGAAGAGACAGACTAGGTTCTCCTCATTGGCGTCTGATCCTAGAAGACTGAAGAGCAGATGTGCATTGTCGGAGCCTGGTGGGTTAGTTATCACCATGTCTGCTGCACAGATAGAGACCCTGAGACCAAGCTGTTTACCCAAACCCTGTGACAACCATGTCTCTTGTAGGAAGCCCACTCTTATGAGAGGGGAGCAAAATAATGAGATAAGATGGATTTAAAATTGCCTGAAAAGATGCATGGGACATCTAGTAGCCAAGGAGGTGGAAATTAAATCAACCATGAGGTACTATTTCACACTAATAAAATACAAAAAATATTATCTAATAGTACCAAGCATTGGAAAAGACATAAGAAACTAGAACTCTCACATGCCATGGTAAGAATGTAAATGTGGTAGAAAGTGCAAAGTTGAAAATGCCCCTGTCTTCTGGGTAGAGGCCATAGAGAATCACGCCTGTTTTCCAGGACACACTTAGGAGGTTGTTCACTACCTGGAATCACCTAAATGCTATCACTAGGCAATAGATAATTATAATGTCTACTACTTTCTTACTTCCTTTAAAAAACACCTTAAAAAGAAATGACCAAAAAAAGTTAACTGGAATTTATGATTTTATCATCATTTTATTTTCATTGTCTGAATTTTCAAGTGATTAAAAAATACATGTAGTGTGCTCTAACAAAGTTCAGCTTAGGCTGGTGTGGAAATGCATCAGTGGCCCAGGGACCGTGGCCATACACCGACCCAAGCCTAAATCTCAACTGGAGCCTGGCTTGGAAACCCAAAGATGGAGTCTTGTAGAACCTCAGAAAATGCCTCAAAGTATGAATTGTCCTACAGACCCATCCTGGCAGTGCCCGGAGCTAAAGGGATAGGCCCACTCCTTGCCTGCACTTGTGGGCTGGTGATCTGAGAGGAGACCCAGATCGCAGACACGTACTAAGGTCAGGGCATTCATTACCCTCTTCCTGCTGAGTAGACGAGGATGGCTAAACACCAGATCCATCTCCATGTCCTATGGGAGGGGGGCCCTGGCACCAATACTCGGAGGTTTTCAGCTTTGCTGAAGTCTTATCCTCAACTCCACATCTGCAGTGTCAGCCTTTATCTCTGCTGTTGCATCTACCAAAATAGAGAGACAGCCTGTGTGACTAGATTTTCCCTCTACACTCCAAGCTAAGTGAAATAAGCCAGGCACAGAAAGACAAGTGCCATAGCCACTCACTCACATGTGGAGCCTAAAAAAGTTGATTTCATAGAATAGAACAGTATTTACCTGAGGCCAAGGGGGGAGGGAGGAGAGGGCGCTGGGGAGAGGGAGATGATGGATAGGTATGTTACAATTGGATGGGAAAAATAAGTCCTGATGTTATATGCTATGGTTAACAGAAATCTAGTACATATTTCAAAATAGCTAGAAGAAAGGGTATTTAAAATTATTTATTTTTAATTGAAAAAAATATTCTAAAGACAGAATCTTGCTGTTGCCCAACCTGGCCCTGCATTGCTGGGCTCAAGGGATCCTCCTGCCTCTGTCTCCCAAGTAGATGGGACTACAGGCAAGTGCCAGCAAAAAGAAGATCTTCAGTGTTCTCACCGCAAAAAACAAACAAACAATCAAAACTAGGGTGAACGTTTAAGGAGATGTTTATGCTAATTAACCTGATTTAATTATTATGCAATGTATGCATCTATCCAAACATCGTATACCCCCATACATATGTACAATTATTACTTGTCAATCAAAAATTTTTACAAGAGGGACAGGGCGGGCGGAACTTAGTGGTAGAGTGCTTGCTTAATATGCGTGAGACCCTGAGTGTGATCCCCAGCAGTGCAAATAACAAACAAGCAGGACAGTGGATTCGCCCCTATATGAGGCAGGAGACATATGCTATGTGGGAAGGAGCAATACCCGGTCTGCTTCACTGTGTGCTCCCCAGTCTTGAGGAGAAGAGACACCACCGGGCACTGGGACATAGTCCATAGTCACACCTGTAAATGTTTAAGTGATGAGTGGGTCAGTGAGTGGATGACACAGAGTCCCCTACTTCCTCTAGTGCCCCACGTGAGATGTGTGGCCAGAGCGGGGCCCAGAGCTGCCAGCCTTCTGTGTCCAGGAGCTGAGGCTCCTCATGCGGTTGGAAAGAGCAGCGGGGGCTCCAGACTGGACCCCAGCACAGGACAAGGGCCAGTAAAGTGAGTTGTGAGTCCTGACAACTTCCCTGATTGAAGATCATACTGGGAGTTAACTCGAGAGGAAACTGCCAGCTATGGTTGTGTGGGTGCTGTTGTCTGGGTCCGCAAGAAGGCACTGGCTTGAAAGGGAGCAGGAAGGTGTTCTCTGCTGGAGGTGGGAATCCAGATCAGGATTCCAGGCTCCAGGCCTGGAATCTTCCACCAAGACTCGGTCAGGCCCGCTCTTCTGCAGCCTCAGCCTTCGGAGGAGGAGGAGGTCAGCAGGCCCCAGCTCCCCACCTTGTTCTCTGTGCTTGGCCCTGGAAGCTGGGCGTGAAGGCAGAAGACACCATGGACAGACAGCAAATCCCCAGACCCAGCACACTTCATCCACCAATCCGCCAGCTTCTCTGAGGCCTGGAGAGCCAGGCCTGCCTTTCCAAAGGGCCTTGGAAAAGTCAGAAAACAAAAGACTGAAAAAAAAAAAATCTCTGTTTTCGAGAATGAAATACAGGGTCATGAATATGGTAAGTCATCTTATTAAAATTTGCTGATTGATTGATTATAAACTCGCTAATCTCCTGGATTAGAATTTACCTGAGTAGTCGGTGAAAACTTGTGAATTCCAGTCAAATATTACAGGACACTGCCTAACTTGGGTACTTTAAAGTGACTCATCCAATAATTTTGACTTTAAATTCTACATGAATATTTCATAAATACCCCATACATTTAATATTTTAACAATTTTACATCATATCTACAGTACTTTAGTACCTGACTTGTATATTTATGTGACTATTGTTAGAAGTGACTAATTGGGTTTGATTAGCTCCATCATTAATATTCTGTCCATAATTTAACATGCTTCAATAAAATACCCTAAAGCAGTGTAATGATTAGATTTCAGGAATATGTGTTTTGCAATTAAGTTCCTCTTGATTTTGATATGCAGATGAAGAAATGGTGGTCTCATTTAAAAAAAAAAACTGCCCTTATTAACTCAGCAGTATACTCTGAAGATTAGGTAAGAAATCCAAGATTTTCTCTTTGTATATGCTAGTTAAAATGTATTTCAATCAAGCCTATGTGGGCAAATCAGATTTGATTAGTTTAAGTTCACAGTCATTCTATCTAAATGAATAATGTGTCACCTAACATTGCAAAAATTTGATTAATAGTTTATCAGTTAATTAAAAATGAGGTTTAATTTTTCTTTTTTAGGAAACTGCAAGGTAGATATTCCTTGTGTTCATCATAAATGCAAATTATTTCAGCTTGAATCTATTGTTCCTTTTTTGCTTCTTAGCCAACTGGCAAGAAAATAAAGCTCTTCGAAAGCTCTCTGGGAGGGAGGAGAAGGGAAACTTTCCTTGCTCCCTCCAGTGCTGTCACTTGCACTTGCCTTAGCTGCTGATTGTTCTAGGTGGAGCTGGTTCCCTGGGCCTTGGCTTATCTCACCTCCTGGCCTCCCCTTCCCGCCCATTCCGGGTGCTCCCTGCAGTCTTTGACCTTAGGAATTTTCCAAGTGACAACTTTTGTTACCTTGTTCAGTTTGTCTGTGGGGCAGCAGCCAGGGAACCCAAAGAGCCCCTTTCCCTCAGAAACCGAGGCCTGACTTGACAACAGTCCTCTCCCACCCTACAGGGGGCAGGGTCCCCACATCCAGTAACTGAAACAGGGAACCTGCTTTAAGGACGGTGGGTCTGCCACTGATGGGCTCCTGAGCAACGAGCTCCTTCAGGGCACTGCTGGGAGTGTCACTGTGAGGCTGGGGAGGGAAGAAGCCAGCCCAGTGTAGCATGCAGGGGTGAGCAGGCACAGCTACTGGCAGCTCCAGCCTCGGGGACTGTGCAGGATAAAGCAGACCGGGCCTTGGTCATCCTGAGGCTAAGACAGGAGGGCTGTTTGTCCACCAGATTCTGTCCATCACTGACTGAGGGGTGTTCCCCATGGGCACCATCCCGTACACAAGCACAGCAGACTTCTGCAGCCAGAGCCTGTCCCCAGGCGGAGCAGGTTTTTGCTGGGTTCCACCCAAGGGAGTGGTAAGAACAAAGGAACTTGGGTAGGACATCTTCAGAACCTTCTACAGGGTCCCGTGCTAATGTGGCCAGTTCTTCTCCCTCTCCTGCATTCATCCTTAGCTTTAGGAGGAACCTGCTGCCATTTGATGCACACACCTGTAATCCAAGTACTCTGGGAGGCTGAGGCAGGAGGATTAAAAGTTCCAGGCAGCTTAAGCAATTTAGAGATTTAGTGAGACCCTGTCTCAAAATGTAGAAAGGGGCTGGAGGTATAGCTCAGTGTGAAGGCCCTAGGCTCAATCCCCAGTGACACACATTCAAAAAAAAAAAAGGAATGTAAGAAAGCAAGGAAGGAAAACAGGAAGGCATCAACAACAAAGGCTTAAATGGGAGCCATCCTGACAACAGGCACTGCAGCTGTTGCTGTCAACTTGCATTCTAGAAGCAGGAGACAATGCAGATGTGCCAGGTGTGAAAAGTGCTGTGAGGGGGGGAGGGTACTTCAGTCTGGGTGGTCACGGAGGGCTTCTCAGAGGAGGTAACCTTGAGCTGAACAGATGTGAACTATCCTGCCATGGAGAGGCCTGGGAGAAGAACATTCCAGGGGCGACACAGAGCGACTAGCAGAACTTCCAGACAGGAACAGTTTGGTGAGTGACGGTGAGAGAAAGTCTCCATAGTCAGAGTGCAGGGAGCGAGGGGACCAAGCAGAGGTGACTTAGGAAGCAAGGACAGGACCAGCTGGCTGCTGGAGGGGTCTCTACCCCACGGGGCTCTCAACAGACCCGAAGCAGAAGTACCCTGAGATCCCTGGGGCAGGACCTGCGATCTTAGGGTTCACAGCTCCATACAGCAAATCTCACGTGAGCTTTTTGGAGAAACACCAGGTGGGACCAAAGGACTTCTGGGAACTGCAGAGCAATTCCAGGTCCCTAGCAGTGAAGGGACAGAACTGAGGAGCTGCAGGGGTTCCCTGGGGCTCAGCTTTCTCTCTCTCTCTCCCCCTCCCTCCCTCCCTCACTCTCATAGAATCTTCCTGATCCTATCCAAGAGAATGGAGCCCTGTATTCCAGCCAGGACTGGACTGCGGTTGTGCTTGGTTGGAGCTTGCTGGGTTTGCAGCTCCATCTTGCTCAACTTGGCCTCACTGTTGTCTGTAGAGCTCTGGTGTGGGTCCCGCTCTCCTGCCATGCACGATCTGGGCATTGGCACCCTGCTTGGGACCTGGGCCTGGGCTCAGGCTGCAGTCAGTACAGAGGTCAAATGTGTATCCAGTGCCTGGGACACCGGCGGAGCATGAGAGGACACAGAGGTCCATGGCGAGCCCCTCAGTCCAGGCCACTCCGTCCTCACGCACCTCTGATGCAAACGTTGTCACTGTGTCCAGCCGGTGTTTCCAGGAGTGTCCAGGTTGAACCATGATACCAGAAGTGGCTCAGGCTTCTCATAGCCCTGCAGCGGCCAAACTTGCAGAGCAGGTCTAGAGGAAGACTCTTCAGGTGAAGAGGACCCTGACTGGCCGGGTCACCTTGACGGGGACTGTGCCCTAGGCCACTGAGGCAAACCTTCTAGGGCTTTCAATGATATGAACAGCACTCGAGCTATAGGTTCGCCACCACTGCCCTAGGCTAACATTATTGACCATAGGCACTGCCCATGGACACAGACTGACCAACTCCTATGTGGGGTTTTGGGGGTTTTTTTTTGGTACCAGGTTGGAACTTGGGACCTTGCACTTGTGAGGCAGGTGGCAGAACAACTGAGCTAAATCCCCAGTCCTCCTATGTGCTTTTTTAATTCTCACAAGGAATATCCAACAAAGTCAAAGGGTCAGGAATTTTTTTTTTTTCTTGGTACTGGGGATTGAATCAGAATCTTCACACAGCAACATTCCCAGCCCTTTTTAGGCAGGGTCTTGATAAGTTGCTAAATTGCCCAGGCTGGGCTCAAACTTGTGATCCTCCTGCCTCAGCCTCCCAGAGAGCTGGGATCGCAGGTATACACCACCACACCCAACTGGAGATCTTCTTATATCCTCATTTTACAGATGAGGCATGGAGATGTTACCTAACCCCATTGAGGGCACACACCCAACAGTGAGAAGAGGAAAGTCAAATGCAGGCGGCAGCTGCAGGGTTCACTAGCTTCCTTGCTGCTGCACCTTGGTGCTGAGGTACAACATGCCCTCACCTCAGCATTTATCCAGCCTGCCTTGGAGATTTACTCCTGGCAAGCAGAGAAGAGGCTACTGCTCCCATTCTACTGATAAAACCGAGGTAAAGAGACTTCCCAGTCTCTTTACCAGTCATAGGGCCAGGCCTGCAAGGAGGCGCCGGATCCCAGCCCTGGTTCCCTGCAGTCTGCCTCCCATTCCTGTGGCCCTGTGCACACCACTTTTCCAGCATAGCTCGGGCCCATACATATTCAAGGGACTCCCCTGCTACTGGGAAGATGAGAGGCGGCAAATTGTCAGTTTTGTTTTTTGTGGGAAAAAAAAAGGAAAGGAAAGAAAGAAAAGTTCTCCAGAACTCACCAGGAACAAACTCCCAAGACAGCATCTCTCAGGCAGGTTCGGGAAGAGTTCTGAGCATTTCGAAAACTCAGGGTTGGTGGGGCCTGGAGGTATGTGAATGTCTGTGAAGCTATGGTTTTCAGAGCAAGGTTTCCCATATATAAGCAGGACCATAAAGTGAATTCGGACTATTTCTGCTTCCAGAGGAACCACTGTATCTGAAAAGATAGCAGACTGCACCGGCTTTTCTCTGGGGAACGGGGTGTCAGAATGACCCGATTAAAAGTGGAGGGACCCCCTAGCTCCGGCTTTGGCTGAGCTCAGACCTGCTGGGCACGGCTAATGAAGCCCTGATGGTGCATCTTGAATTCCAAGTGCCAGCCCCACACTCGAAGGCTGAATCTCCAGGTGAAAGGAGCGGAGTTGCGCCTATGAATTGCTAACTCCCCATCTACCGGAGGCACAGGGGGGAGAGGGAGGGTGGGGAGCCCCCTGCCAGCTCAGGCTCCACCAGAGCTGGGCTAAGAGGAGCTGTTTTCGGAGGAGCCGCACTCCCAGACGAGGGCCATGTGTGAGCATCTGAGGACACGATTAGCCCTGCATCTGTGGCCTCCCTCTTTAGGCTGGCTGCTCCCCAAGACGGAGCCAGGCCCCTTCTCCCTGCCAGCAGGGCAAATGCTGCTGTAGGAGGAGTGGCAGAGGATTTGGGGAACTTAACGAAGTGGTTTGCTGTTACTGTAGATGCTGCTTGGCCTCTTATTAGTTTTCACACATCATCCAACAGACACTCATTTGAGCATCACAGGTTCCCGAGCTCGGGGCTAGGGGAGCAGAGAGCCCATGAACAGCCAACACAGACACAGGCCTGCTCTCCTCGAGGCGAGGAGCTCCCGAGGAGGCAGGTTTGGGGCAGCCATGCGGACGATTTAGCAGTGTTCTCCGGTATTGGCCCAAGTGTTGCCACATCCTTCAACCCTCCTGGTGCACCTACGGTGCCCATCTCTCAGGTACAGAAGTGAGCGTGGAGAGCTTAAGGGACTTAGCCATGCTGCTCAATAGTAAGTGATAAGTAAGGCCAGGGTTGGAACCCGTAGCTAATGTCCTCTATCACTCCTCTAAAGCCACAAGTTCCAGGACCCAAAGACCAGAGGCCAGTTGTGAATAACACAGGGACAATGGATGTGCACTGTCAGGATGAAAATGTCACTCCCTCGTTGGATGGAGTCGTGCTGGGTTGGCGCCAAATAGTCCTTTTGGGTACTGTGCCCATCCCCCATCCTGTGACACTGTACAGCGCAAGCCATTTCCTATGGGTGACAATCAACATTTGTTTCTTGCCTGCCATGGAGCCCAGTCATGTGCCAAACGATGTGGAGTAATTGTCAGGCCAGGTAATGTTTGGACCCCTTCGGTCCCCCAGGCAGCCCCCGGGCAGACTCAAATCTACCACCCAGTCATCCCATGGATGTTTGTTGGGGCCTGTTGTGTGCCAAACTCAGCTACATGCTAGCATACTTAGTGGGAAAAATAGTCAAGGTTTCTGTCTTTGGAGAGCTGAGGAAGATGACAGTGATGATGATGATAGTGACCATGAAGAGACGGTGAATCCAATAAACAAACAAATACTTATCAATGATAACGATGATAATTGCTAGAAAGGAAAGAACAGGATTTCCCTATGAAAGAATAGCCCCAGAAACTAAACTTGGACCAGAAGTGTATTATTGGGGGTACCTCTATTCACAGGGTACACAATCAGGGTCTAATAGGTGTTCATAGTTTGATGATCATGTCTGAAAGTCTTGGAAGGAAAAGGAACAAAGCAAGAAAAGGAAAGGGAGCTCCAAGCAGAGGCAAGGGAGACTCAGACTGTAAAGAGAGCCTTGCATTCAATAGTCAAAAACTTTTCAAAATTTGAGGGATAAAAGCCCAGTGTGAAGATGAAAAGCATGGTCCCAAAACAAGTGGGCCAGCCCCTCTGTGATGAGCTACAGGTACACAGGGCTCTGGAGGCAGCAGGAAGTGCCAGAGGAAAGTACCATAGGCTCTCGTACCACACATAGATCATTTCTGCCAGTAAACCAGGGGATTAGGACATTAGAGATGAGGACCAGGCCAAATTAGTCCATCTATCTCTAGCAGAATGCCCTGGGCTGAAGTAACTGTGACCCTGACCAGCCTCTGAGAGCTGAGAACAAAGCAGGGTGCCCAGGGTGCCCAAACTCTGTCTCCTCTGGAGTAGTACTGGCATGATGGGGATGGGGTGAGTGGAGAGTCCAAAGCTCCCTTGGAGAGATACCTAGGGAAGCAGGGAATGGCAGTGCCCTTCTGAACATCTCAGGAGCCGTGGGCCCAGTGCCCCAAACAATGACATCAGGACTCAGATTGCCACAGAGGCTCCGCTGTCCTCAGAGTTGGTTTCTTTCTCAGACAAGTTCTCCCCAGTGGTGTCAAAGATGACCTTAGCTCCAGGACTGTGAGACTTCAAGGAAGTAGAGGTTCTCAGAAAATGCTTCCTGCCAAATTCTGGGTTTCCTTCTCAATGCTTTAGCCTATCACCATGAGCCAATCACGGTGGCCTGAGCATGGGGGCATCCTCTCATTGGTCTGTCCTGGTTAACACCCCCCACCCTAGCCCCCTCCAGGGCACAAGGTAACACCATACAAATCACAAGGTCTGCCAGTGAAGGGTGAATCCCCTAAAAAAATAAATAAAGCCGGGTGCTTTGAAAAAAAAGAAAGAACAAGACTGTCCACTATAGCTGGAATGAGAGACAGGTTAAGGGAGAAAAATAAAGCCACAATGGAAAAGAGAAGAGTTTCACAGTTCAAAGGTGGAGCCTCCCCTACAACAGATGTGGAAGGGGGTCTTAGAAGGGGTGACAGCGGGATGGCTTTAGAGACGGGACATTCTTGTGAACAGTAACCATCAGCCCATTTTCCACTCTGTCCTTTTGCTCTTCTCCAGGTGCCTTTTCCTTAATTACACCCAGAGAGCACAGGAAAGTGGATGCCTGCGATATTTATTTTCTGCTCTGAGCCCAACACAGGTAACTCACCGGGGGCATCTTTCTTAATGAAGGAAGGAAAATGTCAGAACAGCGATCAGCCACGATGCACCCGATGGACTTAAAAATAAGCAAAAATAACACGAACATTCATTTTGCATTAGCTGGCTGTACATATCATCCATGATTAGGAGAGCAGGCTTTTCTTGGTGCTGTGGGGATATCTATTACTAGAGGTGGGCTCCCTTACAAGTGGACGTGAGACGATATTCATTCTGGGCACTGTTTCACTCCATGTAAAACCAGAGCTGGTGGTGGACACCTGAGAAGCCCACATCTGTGCCAGCAGAGGTGCTGAGCTCCTCCTGATATCTCAGGTCTGAACCCTCAACCTCCAAAGAGGCTCTGGACCTTTTGTGGGTGCTGAGGAAAGAGAAATGGTCAAAGTCCTTGCCACTTAATAATACCAACAAGCCTCTGTGAGCTTGTATTACACTTAGGCAACCCCGTGAGGTAGGAATGGTCAACCCTGTTTGATAGAAGAAATTGAGGCTCAGGACAGGCCACACAGCCGCCCTGTCTGCTCTGCTGGGAGCAGACAGACACTGAGCCCATCAGTGCTGACTGCATACCGGGGGGGGGGGGGGTGCTCCTGCTAAGCTGCACTGCATGCTGGCACAGGTATCCCCAAATTGTGTCTATGGCTGGACACACAGTAGGAGCCCTCAATAAGGGCTGCAGGCACCAGGGAACTAACTCCTCCTTGCTAATTCCAGGTCAAAGCAAGGAGAAGGAGGAGAGGGCCTGGATGAAGAAGTCCTTGAAGTAATGAAAAGAAAGTAATCCTGATTGGCTTCATCTAGAGCAGTTCAGAGGAGGAAGAGTGGAGAATCAAATGAAGCTGTCCCCAGGGCTCCGCTACTCCCCGCCTCCCCGTGGTAGCAGCGGAGAGTCCTTCGGGGCCCATTGCAACTGGATCCCTTGGGAGAGTGGATGACACACACACCCCACCTCATCTGCAGCACAGAGAAGTGGGGAAGGGCATAGCTAGAGGGGAACAGAAAGGTGTCCAGGAGATGGCAAGACAGTGGGAAAGAAAGGGACAGTGACAGCACAAGGAGAGACAGAAAGGCTGGGGAGGTGGGGAGGCTGTGAGAGGAGCAGCCCAGTCCCCTCTGCCCCTTCTCCACCTGCGCAGTGCACCTTCCCCATAGACACATCCTGTGTGGGCCTTCCCTCTGCCTTCTGCCTGAGCTGGACTCTGGGGGTCCTGGCAGGACCCTGGGTGGAGAGGAGAGGTGTGTAATGGGGTAGCTCCTCCTCCAGAGGTCACCATTCCTGTCCCATGCTCTTTAAGCCATCTTGAGCTCCACACTCAGGTAAGGATGCCTGGCCCGTCCCAGCAGCCCCAGAATGGGAACAGTCCTGCTGCTACTAGACCCGGAGTGATAGCCCTCCTTCTGGGGCCCCCCTTGGTAAAGAACTCCTTTATTCCTGCTGGATCCTGATGGTACAGGGATATCCCGGGCTTCTACCCTCAAAGAGGAAAAGAAGCCTTAGGTGCAGAAGAGAGGGCCTTGCAGCTGATGTGAGAAGCAGTCCCCTCCTAAAAGGTCAAATGGCATCCTTAGCAACAGAGCACGACCTCTCTTGGAAGGCAGCAGCCAGCACAGCCTGCTCAGAAGGACCCAGCTCCTCCACGCACCTGAGCACCCACAACTGGCTGTTTGACGAGTGTGTCCCCCAGGCTAGCATGCAGCTGTCCCCAGAGGATGGCTCGAAGGATAAATAAATAAAGCCTCCACCGACTGTGCCCACCAGTGTCCAGGCTCCAGGGCCTATTCTTAGAATGTAGGACAACTTTCTCCCAGAATAGACAAGACAGCTAACTCAGGAGGGAGGCCTGGGAGAGATGAAGACGTAGAGTCTAGATATGAATTAGTTGTGAGTATATTATTTGAAGAAATGTTGAACAGCTAGGCAAATATTTGATACCTGTGAATGGAGCCAGCGTTTTCACAGGCAGAGTCGGCGGCTGCTAGAGACACCCCCTCCTCTTCCTGAAGGGTGTACCTGGCTGTCACAGCCAGTTCTGGAGGCCACCTCTTGCTGTGTGCGGAGAAGTAATTAAGGCCGTACACCTGCTGGAACTGAATGCAGCCACACACCCAGCCGTTTGGGGACAGTGCCCTGCTGCATGACTAAATCCAGATACCTTTGTATTTTATTTATTTTTCTTAAAGCTACTGTTATCTTATTAAAGGGATGAGGTATCTGGCTCAGTAGGGCCTCTTTTTGAAAAGTGCCAGAGAGACAGGTTTCTGATTTGGACCTTTAAGCCAGGTGCAGCGGTGCACACCTGTGGCCAGTAATCTCAGCACTTTTGGAAGGCTGAGGCAGGAAGATCAAAACTTCAAGCCCAGCCTATGTGCCTTAGTGACTTAGGAATGCCTGTCTTAAAATAAAAAATAAAAAAGGGGCTGGGGATGTAGCTTAGTGTGAAGGCTCAAGTTCCTAGCTTCAATTCCCAGTTTGGCAAAAAAAAGGAAGCCACCATAGCCCAGCACACGTGCCTTGACTCTAAAGATGAGGATGGGGCAGGGCCTCCCGTATGGCGCTTGGCTGGGAGCTCCTCGAGCACTGGTGGACAGTTCGCTTCCAGGAGCTCAGGGGTGGTGATGCTGGTAGCTGTGACAGACCTGCCAGAGTGGCCGCTACCCTTCTCGGCCCCTCACCGGGATTAGAGCCAGGGAAGACTGAGCCACATTCCCAGTACTTTGGGTTTTTTTTAACTGATAGTCTTGAACTGGGTATCTTTCTGCCTCAGGCCCCAGTGTGCCTCCTCCCACACCTGGCCGAGCCATCTTTTTACCGGTTCCCTCATTTGGATGTGGAGGGCACCGCGGGCATCCTTAATTTACAGTTGAGGAAATAGAAACACCATGCTACGGCCAGCGTTTTACGCGAAGGTCTGCAGTCTGTCCTGCTGGTTTTAGGTCAGGACTAGCCAGTATTAAGCACGCTCTTCCCACGCGCTTACACACATTCGTCCAGGCCATCATTGCAAAGGCTCCCGACACGAGCCGAGGTGAGAAAATGGGTTCAGAGACATAAAAGGCCCCGCGGCCCAGCCTCCCTCTCAGGGTGTGGCGAGCCAGCACCCGCTCCAGAGCCTCGGCGCCCACGGTCTCCTTGGGGACGCCGGCCGCTCGCGTCATCCGAGGCAGCCCCGTCAGCAGGGGCGCGGAGCTCGGGAGTGGAGGCTTCTCAGGAGACCCGAAAACCCTGCCCGCGCCCCGGGCCAGGCCTCTCCGCGCTGCGCCGCAGCTGCCCGAGCGCCGCCACCAGATGGCAGCAGACGCTTTGCGATGGCGCCGCCGGGGAGGAGCGGGGTCGGGGCGCGGAGCCTGGCCTCGGCGCGTCGGTCGGTGCTGCTCACGGCTGGGAGTGGGGGACCCCGCCCCGCCCGGGCCTGGACCGCAGCCCCCTGCTGCTCCGGTGCCCTCACGCTGATTGGTTTGGGCTGCAACCCCGGGAGCCCGACGCGCAATCATCCCCGCAGGGTCGGGGCCGAGGAGCTGCAGGCGCGCTCCCTCCGGCCGGCCCATCTCGTACCCCCTCGCCTGGTCCCTGCTTGGCGCTGTCACCCCCACTCGACCTCCAAGGAAATGTCCCCGACGGGTGGCAGGTGGCAGACCCACGCGGGGCCACACCAAGCTCCATCACGCCCGTCGATTCCCAGACCTGGCTCGGCCCAAAGTGGGTCCAGGCAGCGTGAGCCGTCGCGGGCACTTCCTGAGCTGACGTGGGGTGTGCGTTGTGAGAAGGGGCTGAAGAAAGAGGGAGGCCAGGGTCCCTGCCCCGCCGGACGGGGTCGAGAACCAGGGCTACCTGGGGCCCTCTGGCGGGACTCCACCCTCAAACAAGGAAACCGAGGCCAGGAGGAGCCAGGCCCTGGGAGGCCATGAGAGTGGGGACAAGCCCTGAGGAAATGGGGTGGTGGCTCCAGCTGTAGCCTTTACGGAGCTAAAAGAAAAGTGCCTCCAAGGAACGTTCTAAAATTACTAGCAGACCTCCTCCTCGGCCATGCCATAAAAAGCCCACTTGGCAGTGCGCAGCCCTGCGCTGCCTGTGGCCTGCAGCCAGGTAGCACGAGGAACACCGTGCCAGGGACCCGCAGGCTTCAGGCTGCCAGGCCAAGCTGCCCTCCCAGGGGTCCGCCCCAGAGCCCCCTTCCCCCCCCCGCCCCGCAAGCTGGGGCTCTGTGAACGCGCGCGCGCGCGCGCGCGCACGCACGCACACACACGTACGTATTCACTAGCCCTTAGCAAAGGAAAGAATGAGAAACAGAGGAAAACAAAATCCATGGGTTCATCACCGGATTCAACCAACAGGAGATGGAATATAGTTCCCCCAGACTGCATCTGAGCTAGAAGCAGTGGCACTAACCTGTAATCCCAGCGGTCTGGGAGGCTGAGCCAGGAGGATGACAAGTTGGAGCCCAGCGTGGGCAACTCACCAACTTAGGGAGACCCTATATCAAAATTAAAAATAAGAGGGCCGGGGATCTAGTTCAGTGGCACTGTGCCAGCCTCACAAGCCCAAGGTCCTGAGTTCGATCCCTGGTACCAAAAATAAATAAATAAAATAAAATAAAAAGAGCTGGGGATGTAGCTCAGTGCAAAGGCCCTGGGTTCCATCCCCAGTACCTGGAAGGGGGTGCCTCTGTGTTGGGCATGTAGACTTTTTCCCTTGTCATTGTTTCCTAAACAATACAGGAGAGCAGACAATCTAGAGATTATTTAAGTATATTGTTTAAGTGCAAAGACTATATCCCAGTATGACACTGTTATATATGGAAGGGGTGGAGGGTTATAAAGGGATTTTGGTAACCCCAGGTAGTCTTAGAATCAGTCTTCCACAAATACCAAAGGACCACTGTCCAAGGAAGGGAAGTAAGAAAACAAAAATTTTACAAGACAGTGACGTGGAGACATTCTCTGTCCTGTCTCCTGCACTCCATCCCCCTGCTTCTCTGGGGCCCCCAAGCCTCCCGTTACGTAGGAATATCAACGCATGCGCGCGGGACTGCTTTGGAAGCGTGGGAAAGTGGAATCATGAAGTGTGAGGACCCGCTCTGTTTCAGGAGCTCAGATGCCCTAGAGCAGCGATGGGGAACCCCGTAGACACTGAGTACCAACCTGCAACCCAAACCCACTTATATCTCCCAAAGTGGCAACGCTGCCCCTGTGTGCGTTGTTGTCCAGTACTCAGCTGTTTGAGTGATGCCAGGGTGGCTTGGCTCGCATGCCAGCCGAGAGGATCCTGCATGCCCACTCACTGCGCCATGCATGCCCTAGGTTTGCCACCACTGCCTTAGCGTTGTGCCCCAGGGCATGACTGCTTTCATTTTATGTTATCTTATATTTTCTTTTTTTTGGTACCCAGGATCAAACTTGGGACCTTGCACTTGTGAGGCAGGCACGGTGCCACTGAGCTAAATCCCCGGCCCCTTATCTTGTATTTTCTTAATTCATTTGTATTTTAATTTTTATTGTGTATTGAACTTTTTTTTTTCATTTGCAATAATTGAGATTGAACCTGGGGCCTTCATATTGAGCCACATCTCTAGCTCTTTTTTAAACTTTTTTATTTTGAGACAGGGTTTTGCTAAGTCATGACTCTCCTGCCTCAGCCTCACAGAGTACTAGATCACAAGCCCACACCACCACACCTGGCTTATTCATTGTTGTTACTCTTAGATGGCACAGGCCTGCTCCCCTGGCCACAAGCCTTGCACACCCTGTGAGCCCTCAGTTTGCAATCATTTTTTTAATTTTAATGTAATCAACCAGATATTAATATAGAAAATGCTTAAAAGCACTCTTCTTACTTCTATGAAAAAACAAAGCAAAATTTCTTAACAAAATAATTAGAAAATAACAATAGCTAATACACTGTGTATCACAATCTTACAAGGATGCCCAAAATGTTACTCAGAGAAAAGTCATAGACAAAAAAGACTCTCACAAAGAAGTGAGAAACAGATAAAAGCACAAAACTTAAACAAAATGATATTGGCATATATATTATTTTTGAATCAACAAAATAGATAATTGGAGAATTATTTGAACTCTTTCCTGTTTCCTAGTTATATATCTTCTATTTTGCTCTTTCTGTATGTATATAGTTTTTCTCATATAAGAGAAACCATGTGATATTTGAGCTTGTGTGTTTGACTTATTTCGCTGAACATTATATTCTCAAGTTGCTGAGTTGAGCATGGTGGTGCACAGCTGTATAATCTCAGCACTGAGGATGCTGAGGCAGGAGGCCAGCCTGGGCTACATAGTGAATTTGAGGCCACCCTGAACAAAAAAGTGAGACCTTGTCTCAAAGAAAAAAAATTAAGTTGCATCCATTTGCCTATGATTGACTCAAGTTTATCCTTCTTTATGGCACAGTAGTACTCCAT